GGTCCAAGTATTTACATTCTATTTTCAAGGTCCACAGCAGCACAGTTAGGGGCCCATGACTGGCATATATTATTACCAGTGACAATCCATTACATGAGATGATATATGGCTTGGCTTTCTCTTGGAAAGGCATGCCCTAGGAGACAACTTTCTAGCTGTTGGGCTATATTTTCATAACCCAAGTGGCACTCTCTTATCACTGTAAAAACCACCCCAAGTCTTAGGAACCTGACTAAATAAAAGCTTCTCTCTCGCTTATGAAAAATCCAAAAGTGGATGTTCCTGGTCCAACAGCTATCCTCAAAAAGAGTGGTTCAGGGATCCAAGTACCTTCCATCTCGTGCCCCTGTCATCTTCTACAGTCAGGGATCCAAGTACCTTCCATCTCGTGCCCCTGTCATCTTCTACAGTCAGGGATCCAAGTACCTTCCATCTCGTGCCCCTGTCATCTTCTACAGTCAGGGATCCAAGTACCTTCCATCTCGTGCCCCTGTCATCTTCTACAGTCAGGGATCCAAGTACCTTCCATCTCGTGCCCCTGTCATCTTCTACAGTCAGGGATCCAAGTACCTTCCATCTCGTGCCCCTGTCATCTTCTATAGTCAGCCTCCAAGGTCCCCATGGAGACCACAGAAAGGGATGAGAAGGTATGTGGAGATCTACATATAAGCCACGCCTTGACCCAAAGTGACAGACATCACTAATACTCACATTTCATTGGCCAAAGCTAGTTTTATACACCCCACAATAGACTCAATGGGTGCTGGAAAACATAGTTCCCACTTTCCAGCAACAATTAGCAAAATCAATCTCCTGACCCCCCAGCTAGCTCTGCCACACTTTGGATCCTCCAAATGACTCTTGCCAGAACAAGGGAATCATCAAAGTCAAATAACTAACTGGGAAACTGATGTCTTGGTCTTTGAATCAATGTCCAGGGAATGCAATGATTTCCTGTCACAGGTGGCAATACTGCTCCACGTTGAAAATCACTGTGAACATTGCTGAAGAAAAAAAATCAAAAGCAGGGCCCCTGAGTCAGGAAAGAAGCTTGCAAGTGGGGTTCAGAGTGGACAGAGGGTAGGCAGAGCCAGAAACACCAGGAATGGGAAGCTCACCCAGTCCCTGGGCCTGAGCAAAGGGGCTGTTCTGTCATCTAAGCAGTTAATAGCTAACTAAAGACAGCTCCATTTCAGCATCTAGGTGGAGGTCCTTAGACTGGTCATTAACCAAACTAACTGGAGAGGGCACCTACATCAATAATATGGTACATTCCCAGGAGACACAGGTATTGTGCTCTGCTGGGCCAGAGCTCAGTATAAGAGATCACACTATAAGTGTATTCAATGCCAGCATTGTGGGAGAACAGTTTCCGTGGTTGAAACATTTAGAAAACCTGAGACAGAGCTACCCAGGTTTCCCTTCTGCAGGATGTCTGAGTTTTTGATATGTTCACAAGCACTGAGGACCCCCAGGAGGGAGGCTGCTCGGTGCAAACATGCCCAACACACACAGTATGCTAGCCAAAGTCATGATCATGAATTCTGTTATAGAAATGGGCACCTCAACTAAAGGCATCAAGGCATATCCAGAAGAAGGGGTTTCTCCTATAAAACAAAAAACCAGATATACTTTGCTCTCCAAATCCAAGAAATAATCGAGTGATGGATCCCCACTTGCTGAATTTGATAGTTTTACTGACCTTGAGACTCTCATCTTTAAGGATGGATGGTAAAAAAAAAAACAAAAAAGGGTCCTTCTGTGGGTCAAAGGCACACAGAGATGACCACCAGTTCTGTTAATGTCAAAAGAATGTCCCTCGAAAAGTTAAACACAGAATTACCATATGGCCCAGCAATTTCATGTACAGGTATATACCCAAAAATGTGAAAGCAGAGACTTGAACAGAAATTTATCCACCTATGACAGCATCATTTACAGAAGCCTAAGACATCATGCTAACTGAAATAAGCCAGACACAGAAAAACAAAGACTGTACGAGTCCATTCATACGAGGCATCTGGAGCAGCCAAATTCAGAGAGACAGCCAGCAGGACAGGGGTTACCAGAGCCTGGGGGAGTGAGGAGTTCAGTTATTAAGGGGTACAGAGATTTTGTTCAGGATGATGAAGAAGTTCTGGAGATGGATAGTGGTGATAGCTGCACAGCAGGGAAACTGCGTTTAATGCTATGGAAATGCACACTGAAAAATGGTTAAAGTGGCAAATTATATGTTACATACACTTTGCCATAATTAAAAAAACAAAAACAAAAGGCAATGTGGGCTTCCCTGGTGGCTCAGTGGTAAAGAATCTGCCTGTTAATTCAGGAGACGCGGGTTTGATCCCTGGTGCATGAAGAACCTACATTCCATGGAGCAACTAAGACGCTGAGCCACACTATCGGGAGCTGCAACAACTGAAGCTCGAGACTTGTGCTCTCCGCAACGAGAGAAGCCACCACAATGAGGAGTCCATGCACTGCAACTAGAGAGTAGCTCCCACTTGCCACAACGAGAGAAAAGCACACAGCAACAAAGACCCAGCACAGCCAAAAATAAATAAAGAATTTTTTTTAAAGCCAATGAGACGCTCCCCAGCCCTCGTGGCCTGCGGTGGTTGTCTCTAACAGCAGTGCCCACATGTGCCCTTGCAGGCTGATGGCTCTCCTGCAGCCCATCTAATCACCCAGGTACTGGTGACATATAAGCTCTGTTTTTGACCCACAAAGGATTACGGAAAACTGCACAAGGAGACAGGAAACATGATTCAAGCCAGCCTTGACTTGCTAAGACACAGGGGACGGGAAGTGCTTCAATTTCACATCTATGATTCCCCCAAACACACTTAGGACAGTTCAGTAGTTTCCCTCTCCTACAAGCATTTTTCTAGAATAGCACCGTCTGATGGGACCTTCCTGGGGAAAACACTCTCCTCACTCTGTCTGTGGAGCACTCAAAATGTGGCAAATGCAAATGAGGAACTTTTATTTTATTGCATTTAAATGAACTTAAAAAGCCACCTGTGGCTAGGGGCTAATATATCAGACAGCAACAAGGTTTTAGAAATTTTACAAAGAAGCCAAGTGACAGATCTGTATCTTTTTGGTGGAGACACCAAAATGTTGTATGAATGGCAGAGATTAGGAAGCCAGTGGAAGGTGGTGGGGGCGGGGGGGGGGTATCTGTTTAAATCCATGAACCCATTTACTCAAGTTTTGTATGCTGTCCGTCAAACCTATGAGAAGAACTTATTAGTTATGATGATGTATTGAAAACTAATTTATTCAAGACCAGGCCAGGTCAATGAAAGGGGGTACCTAATGAAGCTGAAAATTCTAGGCAATCAGGACCCAGAACAAGAAAAGGTCATGTGCTCTTTGTGTGGCTCTGGAATTGAGAGCCCAAGATCTCTGCCTGAATGAACCATCACACCCAACCTGACAGAAGCAGTTCTGGTAGTAGATGAGGCTTGTTTTTTACACACACACCACCCCCACACACACCCACACACACATCACAGAGAAGCAAAGCCACTGCATGCCCATTTTCAGAGCACCAGCAGGCAGGAGGCTACAGTTGTGCCTAATGGTCAAAGGGACATTTAACCATTCAGAGAAGAGTCTGTTCAACGTCATTTTCAGAAGAGAATGAACAGAAGTTGGGAAAACCGAGTGGTTCCCAGTGAAGTGGGCCCCTGAACAACTTTTCTAAAAACGATGCTGTGCTGAAGTCAACTCCGAGTGGTCAGAAAAGTCAAGGGAGCTTTTTCAAAGGGCCCAGCTGCCACTTGTTTGAACAAGCCTGCTACCCTGCCCCCCTTCCAGCTGGGGAGCATTTGCTCTGCAGAAAACAGACCCCAGCAAAGAATGGACGATAATAAAGCTAGCTCACCACCTCATCAGTACAGCGTGGCCGGCACCTTAAGACGACTCTCCATTTCCCTTCTCAGGTGCTTTTGGGGTTAGGGCAGGCATGGTGCTCCTGTCTGACCCATGGAGAAACCAAGGCACAGGCTCACAGGTAAACTACTGTCTCACATGCAATGTTTGTGAATGTCACCCAAGTGCCAGAGGCTTGTCACATAGCTTCTAAAGGTTAGGTAAGGAAAACAGCCAAGCAATAATCTGTTCTATACCTGAAGGAACTCTTGCCAACCACAAGTATGGATTTAAGGCTGGGTTCTTCTAGCACACTTATTAGAGTGAGCTGAGGGTCCCATTCCAGCAATGGAGGAGATCCATACATCTGCCACACTGGTGGCACAGCACAGTTGTGATAAGTGTGCAAAAGAATACTGGGGGCGGGGAGGGTACTTCCCTGGCTGTCCAGTCTTGAAGACTTCTTCCAATGCAGAAGGTGCAGTGTTCAATCCCTGATGGGGGAACTAAAACCCCACATGCCTCGTGGCCAAAAAACCAAAACATAAAACAGAAACCATATTGTAATAAATTCAATAAAGACTCTACAAATAGTTGACAAAAAAAAAATCTTAAAAAAAAAAAAGAACACTGGGACATTTCCAAGAGATGCACCCCCACCCCCACTGTCACATCGATTTCCATTCTTGGCTGCAAAATGGAATCACCTGGGAAGCATTCAACAATCCTGAGGCCTCAGGTTCTGCTGTCATCGGTCTGGGCAACAGAAGTTTTAAAAGCTCCCCCAGGCGATTCTAATGTGGAGCCAGGGTTGGGGCCCCTAGAAGGGAGAAAGAGTAGAATACCTAGTGGGGAGGGGGACTCGGCCTCGTCTGGGTCATAGGCTATTTCTTGGACCATCTGATGTTTAAGAAAACTGAAGAATAAAGAAATATAAATGTCAGGGGTCTCTGTCTTCTTATCTGTAAAAGGGTAACAATGCCCCCTACTCTCCCCTCCCCAAAACGTAGGGTGGTACAGTCTGGGGGTGCTAGGGTAGGGAGGAGCTGGTGCTATGGCGGCGCCAGTGCTAAGGAAAGTTGGGAGGAGCGGGGTGGGAGAGAAAGGGGGTCCCGCCTCACCTGCGTCGTAGAAGGCGTCGAGCACGGCCGTCTCCCCGAAGTCGAGCTCCCCGAAGGGTACGGAGGTGAGGTGGGCGCCCTCAGCCTCGCAGGCCCGCAGCAGGCACTGGTGGAGCCCGCCGGGCGCCCCCTGCCGCCTCCCCCGGGCAGTGCTCTAAGAAGGGCGGATTCACGAACTGCAGGATTCTGTTGTTTATTGCCGTCGCTTCAGCCTTGGGGTCCCAACTTTTTTCCCTTGAAGCAATTTGAAGCTTTTCAAACAGACTAAAAAAATCTCTTTCAAAGCGCCGGTTGGATGTCAATATTCAACTCCAAAGTAAATACAGATTAGAATCTAGATGAGAACATGCTGACTTAAAACACCTCTGATTTTGTACTCCTTGTCCCCAGTTGTCGAGAGCATGGCCCTTCCGAGCCCATGCCCTGGAGGCCACTCGTCCTGACTCTCACTGTGGCCTTGACAAAAGCATCAAATTCTGCTGGCCTGAAAAAGAGACTCCAAGTAGCCTGCCTGCCAGATCTAAGAAATACTGTGAATCCAAAGGGCTCTTTTCCTCAGGATCTTACCCACCTCACGATTTTAACCCCAAATATCAAAAAGTAATGAGCACTCCCCTGGCGGTCCTGTGGTTAGGAGTTCGCCTTCCAATGCAGGGGATGTGGGTTCAATCCCTGGTCCAGGAGCCAAGATCCCACATGCCTCGGACCAAAAAACCAAATCATAAAACAGAAGCAATATTGTAAAACTCAGTAAAGACTTTAAAAATTATCCACATGGAAAAAAAATTAAAAAAAAAAAAACAAAACAGTAGTAGGACCACTGTGGGTAGTACTTGTATTTAAAAGATAGGATGCACTGATGCTGTCATAAGCTTTTGGGGCTTGGGGTTTTCTTTTTTGATTTGTAATAATTTTTTTTAAGTTTTTCTGATGTAGACTATTTCTAGTCTTCATTGAATTTGTTACAGTATTGCTTCTGTTTTATGTTTTGGCTGTGAGGCATGTGGGATCTTAGCTCACCAACCAGGGATTGAACCTTGCACCTCTTGCACTGGAAGGTGAAGCCTTAACCACTGAACCACCAGGGAAATCCCTTAATAACAGCTTTATTGAAATATAATTCACAAACCATACAATTAACCCATTTAAATGGTTTTTAGTTTGTTCTCAGAGTTGAGCAGCCATCACCATACTCAGTTTTAGAACATTTTCATCACACCCCTCAAAACCCAAGTACCCATTACCAGTCTCTCTCTACCTTCCCCAACACCCTTCAGCCCCAGGCAGCCACTAATCTACTTTCTGTCTCTGTAGATTTGTCTATTCTGGACATTTCACATAAATAGAGTCATACAATGTGTGGAAAAAGCTTTTCATTTGCTTTTGGTGTATACCTAGGAATGGGATTTCTGGATCACATGGCAACTCCATGTTTAAGCTTTGGAGAAACTACCACTGCTTTTCAGTGTGGTTCCATGGTTTTATATTTCCATCAGCAGTGGACAAGAGTGCCAACTTCTCCACACTCTCACCAATACTTGTTATTGTCTTTTTGATTACAGTCATCCTACTGGAAATGAAGTGATAGCCCACTGTGATTTGGATTTTCGTTTCTCTGAAAGACTAATGATGTTGAGCATTTTGTCATGTGCTTATCTTCTATTTGCATAATTTATTTGATAAAGAGTCCATTTGGACCCTTTGCCCTTTTAAAAAATAAGGTATTTGTCTTTATTATTGAGTTGCAAAAGCTCTTTATATATTATGGATACAAGTCCCTTATCAGATATGTGATTTGCAAATATTTTCTCCTCTTCTATGGGCTATGTTTTTACGTTCTTGACAGTGTCCTTTGCAGCATATCACAAGCCATTTTGACACAAGGAGAATAGGACTTATAAAATAACACCTTGCCTTTTCTTCATGTTTCAGTAATAATATAGTCCATTCCTCCACTTCATCCCCAACAGGAAGCAGAAACTGCCAGCATAAATCTTTGGAGAAATCCTCATTCCTGGCCTGATAGAAATTAGCAATTTCACAAGTGATATCAGTGGGCACCCTCTTTTGTGGCCAATGAATGGAAAATGGGCTCCAAGGAAATCTATAAAAACACAAAACCAGAATTAGGAAGAGGAAAGCTAGAGAAAACTTTCAACATTTCTGTTCTAAGACTTTTTAAAAATATTATGCTATAAAAGGACACATTTCCTTTGCAATCTTGTAATGCATAATAATAGTAATTTTCCTAATGTGCCTGTTCATCTGAGATTATTTCAATGACTGGCATAGCCTTCAGAAGGGCAGAGATGCCCATTTCACAATTGCTTGCCAGTATCCTGCTGTTGCCACACTTCAATCTTCCCATGTTTCTTCCAGCTCTCACTGGGCCCTGATGACTAAGTGAGTCTCACAGGAGTTGTGAATTCTGGCTTGAATAATATCTTTCTTTAAATGCAACCCCTGTGGAGTAAAGGACCTGGCCAACAGGCACCTTCCCCACAGGTGGAACACACAGCCCAACTTCTCATTGTCTCCAGTAATTTGAATGCTTGAAACATACCCGAGTCCCTTCTCCTGATGTCCTTCCTACCTACCCTGCTCCAGCCCCACTGATGAGAAAACTGAAGTTCTGGATTAGTCTTTTCCATTTAGTTGAACAATTGTTCCGTTCTTACTTCTGCCTTGCCCCTTACTAAGACGTACCCTGGAAAATACTTTGCCTCAATGGAGAGATGTCATTTGGACTGGAAAAATGGGGAGTTGAAGAATAGAGTGGAGACACTGTAGCTAAAGGTTAAATCTAGGTGTTTGTCTCATTTCCTCCATTTTATTTTAGACTGGTTATTCATACCAATAAAGAAAGCTGGGCGCTTGTTGGTCCTTTATTGGACCGGAACCTGGTGGTCTGGAGTCAACGATGAGAGAGTGAAAGAAGGAAAGAGGCTAATATTCCCTGGGTTACGCAGCCAGCTTTCGCGCTCCAGGGAATCAGCCAGAAAGAGAGAGAGAGAGAGAGAGAGAGAGAGACAGACAGAGAGAGAGAGAGAGAAAGAAAGACACGTGGACCCAAGCTCTGATGGAGCAATGGTGTGGGTATATATACTGTCTTACAAGGTAGTTATTCTCAGCAAAGATAAAGATTAAAATTAAAAAAAAAAGATTAAAATTCCAGACTTATAAAACACAAGGTGATCCCTATTAAAGAGAGAAGAGGGTACTTATCACCATAATGAGAAACTAACAAAGGAAATGTCTGGATTCCTCAGCCCCGGGAAAGGCATGCCTCTCCTCTTAATTCCTGAATAATAAGGACCAAAGGATTCCTGACAGATCCAAAACAGCACACAGGAAGGCTCCTGTTAAATGCTTCCTGACAAGCACTGAAGAATCGATGCTTTTGAACTGTGGTGATGGAGAAGACTCTTGAGAGTCCCTTGGACTGCAAGGAGATCCAACCAGTCCATCCTAAAGGAGATCAGTCCTGGGTGTTCATTGGAAGGACTGATGCTGAAGATGAAACTCCAATACTTTGGCCACCTGATGCAAAGAACTGACTCATTTGAAAAGACCCTGATGCTCAGAATGATTGAAGGCAGGAGGAGAAGGGGACGACAGAGGATGAGATGGTTGGATGGCATCACCGACTCAATGGACGTGAGTTTGGGTAAACTCTGGGAGTTGGTGATGGACAGGGAAGCCTGGCATACTGCAGTCCGTGGGGTTGCAAAGAGTTGGACACAACTGAGCGACTGAACTGAACTGATTCAAACCAATTATAGTCCTACTAGTTAGTTCCTTGACTCTAGAAAAAAAATTTAGTTACCATTTGAGTGGCAATCTTAATACTTTTCTCCTAAGAAAATACATGGTACCTGAGGGCCAAGTAAATAGTGACAAAGGGGAAACAAGCAGGTTGCACTATATTATATGTATTTGGAAAAACTAACATATGCAGTAATTCAACAAGAATTTATTGAGCATCTATTATGTGTCAGGCACTTTCCTTGGTGCTGAGGTTATCAGAGTGAACAAGACAGCCAAAGTCCCTGCCATTATGTTATAAATAGATAAAGAGATATGGCTATAGACAGATATACCTGTGTATAGATGCTATAAATGTTGTATGGACATAGATTATTGTAATCTGCCATAAAGTACAAGAAAAACAGAATGGATAAAGCATTAAGCATAGATTATGTGTAAGATATTAGTGTATCAAATATAGGTGAAACAGCTTGTTTTAATTATACACCATGAGTGAACAAATGTGAGAAAATTGTGGACTTCATAAGATTTATTAAGAATAATAAGTTATTTCCCTTTAAAACATGCTGCAGATGGAACATATGATGGAACAAGAGTAGCGCTTACAGATAGATAAGGATGGAAAATCATTAGGTGTGAACGTGCAATCTCTGAACTGACAGTCACCCCCTAAATCGACCACCCATTGGTGATACCAGGTACAGTCCCATCCTAGTCCTACCTGTGCCCTCCACCTTCTTGAACTTACAGAATATATTTATAATAACTGTTTTACTATACTTGTTTATGAATACTATCATCTGTTTTGTTACTGAATCTTTTCTTATTGGTTGATTTTTCTCCTCATTCTGGGTCATGTTTTCCTGCTTCCTCACATGCCTGGTGATTTCTTATTTGATGCTACACACTGTGAATTTTACTTCAATGAATACTGTGTATTTTTATATTGCTATAAATATTCTATATATTCCTACTTTCCTATATAAGAATATATAGACATTTTTATATTCCTATAAATCTTCTTTTATATTTCCTGGGTTGGGAAGATCCCCTGGAGAAGGGAAAGGTTACCCATTCCAGTATTCTGGCCTGGAGAATTCCATGGACTGTATAGTTCATGGGGTCATAAAGAATTGGACACGACTGAACAACTTTCACTTTACTTTCACTTTCATAAATATTCTTGAGCTTTATCCTGGGACACATTTACTTGGAAAAACAGTTTGATACTTTTGAAACTTGTTTTTAAGCTTTAAGAGGGATCACAGCAGCCTTTGGGGCTTCCCTGGTGGCTCAGAGGGTAAAGAATCCGCCTGCAATGCAGGAGACCTTGGTTCAATCCCTGGATCAGGAAGATCCCCTGGAGAAGGGAATGGCAACCCACTCCAGTATTCTTGCCTGGAGAATCCCATGGACAGAGGAGCCTGGTGGGCTACAGTCCATGGGGTCGCACAGAGTTGGATACAAATGAGTGGCTAACACACACACACACAGAGCAGACCTTAGACTAAGGGTAATTAATCCCCACTACTGAGGCAATGCCATTCCTAACTCTACACGATATCCTATGATTTATGAAGTTGTTCCATTCTGGCCAGTGGAAGCAGAAACTATTTGGGTCCTATGGGACCTCCAAGGATTGTTCCCTCTCATCCATTCAGGTAATTCTTGCTGCAGCCTTGAATGTTTTCTTTACACCCAAGCTCTGGTCAGTACTCTACTGAAGATTCCAGATCTACACACCTCCAGAACTTGGTGCAGCTCTCTCCTCTCCAAAACTCAAACTGGAGCCTCTGTGGCCTCACTGGCATTCCAGCTCCATCAACTCAGGATTATCCCTAGGCTCCCCTAGACTTCCCTTTCTCTCTTCTATGGCCTAGAAACTCTCAGACCACTAAGCTGGGAAATTACAGGGAAATTACTGGGAAATTCTATTGTTCCCCCTTTCTCCAGGATCTCTGTCCTGTGTTGTGCTCCTTATATGATTTTTTGCAACCTTTTTTTCTGAAAAAGTCCAAAATTCTTTTAAAGATGAGACTGAGAAAATTCTAACATTAGACTTCCCTGGTGGTCCAGTGGTTAAGAATCTGCCTGCCAATGCAGGGGACACGGGTTCTTCACACCTACTGAAGCCTGTGTGCCCCAGAGCCCATGCTCCGCAGCAAGAGAAGCCACCGCAATGCATATCCTGTGCACTGCAACGAAGAGTAGCTACCACTCGCTGCAACTAGAGAGAAGCCTGCTGGCAGCAATGAGACCCAGTGCAACCAAAAGTTAAATAAATATATATGTATTTTTTAAACATTAAAAAGAAAAGCATTTCTCCCTTCTCCACTCTAGGCCTGCTGCAGACTGCCCCCTTGCGGCAGGAAAAGAAGGAGCAGCGTTGGCTTCACCTTCTACCCTGCCAGCCACCTCTCCAAGATGGAGATGTAGGGAGACGGCCTGAGACAGCCCCACTCACGGGTTTCTCATCCTGGGAAAATCCATACCTTTCACTCCACACTTGTCCTCTATGTCCTGAAAACTTCTTGGGCCATATGTAGCAAGCCATCTTTTGAGTCCTTTTCCTAGGCTCCTAGTGAATAGTAGGCAATCCTCCAACACGCCCAATGGCAGGGAAGAACTCATCAGCACATCGATATCTCTCCAAAATACTCTTCTAATTTCCAATTCTCTCTTCTGGGACTCAGCCTCACTTTGAAAATGAGCATCTTGCTTCTGGTATAAGACCTTCTAGAACTCTCTCCTTTCTTCCATCAACTTTCTGTTACCAGAAACGTTCCAGATGATACCTGCTTCACCAGCCTAGGGCCTGGAGTGAGGAGGATGATAAAAGGAAACAAAGCCCTCATTCAGCTTAAAATGGACATTGAAGAAGAACTTGAAAGAGATGAAGCCGTTAGCCATGCAGATGTGTACAGGAGGAGCACTGCAGGCAGAGGCAAGGGCCAGTGCAAAGGCCCTAAGGCATCCTGGCATGATCAAGCAACAGCAAGGCCAGAATCTCTATATATTTAGAATTCTGTCATTTCATTTTTTAAACAGATCTAGTTTCTAGAAAGTTCTCCCGTATATTTAAATAAAATCTTTTCTTATAACTTCCACCCATTTATTCTAATTTAATTCTTCTTCCACATGGCAGCTAAGTACTGCTCTTGGGTCTTCTCCCCCCTCCCACACCTTTCAGTCATTTCTCCATGATGTAATTTCCAGGCTACTCTCTTGATGATTCTTTTATCATATACAAGAAATCCTTCAGAGATTGAGTGTAGCTTTTAACCAGTTTGCCCCAACAGTATACGTCTTGCCAAACTATAGTATGCTCTCAAAACCAGGATATTGGCACCAAGACAGTCAAGATACAGAACAGTTTCGTCACTACAAGGATCCCTCTTATTGCCCTTTGACTGCCACAACCATCTCCCTCTCACCTCCCATCCCCAACTGCTGGCAGCCATTAATCTGATCTCCACTTCTATAATTCTGTCATTTCAAGAATGTTCTATAAATGGGACTATACAGTATATAACCTTGGGATTCATCCAAGTTGTTGCATCGGTAGTCCTTTCTACTTATTGCTGAGCACTATTCCATGGTAGAGATGCACCATGGTTTCTTTAATCATGCACCTTTTGAAGGCCACCTGGGTTGTTTCCGGTCTTGGACCATTACAAATAAAGCTATGATGAACATTCATGTATATGTTTTTGTGTGAACATAAGTTTTCATTTCTCTGGGATAAATGCCTAGGAGTACAAATTCTGGGTCATATGGTAGTTGCCTGTTTAACTTTTTAAGAAACAGACAAGTTGTCTTCCAGAATGACTACACCATTTTACATTCCCAGCAGCAAAGTACAAATAATTCAGTTTCTCCACATCCTTACTAGTATTTGGTGTTGTCACTTTAAAAAATTGTAGCCATTTTGATACGTGTGTAGTAAAATCTCATTGTGGTTTTAATATGCATTCTTCCAATGGGTAATGATGTTTAACACTTTTTCGTGTGCTTTTCTGCCATTTATCTTTCTTGGTAAATGTTTATTCATATCTTGTGCCAATTTTATAATTGGAATGTTTGTTTTTTTATGGTTGAGTTTTGAATGCTCTCTATATATTCTAGATAGGAGTTGTTTTTCAGATATGTGGGCTGCAAATATTTCTCTACCAGTCTGTAGCTTGTTTTTTAATTCTCACAGGGTCTTTCACAAACAGCAAAAGCTTTTAATATTTTTAAAAAATTCTTTTTCATATTCTTTTCAATTATGGTTTATTACAGGATATTTAATATAAGACCCTGTGCTGTAGGCTTTTCAGGTGGCACTAGTGGTAAAGAACCCGCCTGCCAGTGCAGGAGAGGTAAGAGACACGGGTTTGATCCCCGAGTCGGGAAGATCCCCTGGAGGAGGGCATGGCAATCCACTCCAGTATTCTTGCCTGTGAAATCCCATGAACAAAGGAGCCTGATGGCCTATGGTCCATAGCGTCGCACACAGTCGAACATGACTGAAGCAACTTAGCACATGCGCACATGCTATACAATAGGCTCTTGTTTTCCATTCTATATATAATAGTTTGTATCCGCTAGTCCCAAGCTCCCAATCCAACACTCTCCCTCCCCACCTCCTCCTTGGCAAGTCTGTTCTCTATGTCTGTGAGAATGTTTCTGCTCTGTAGATAAAAGCTTTTAATCTTGATGAGGCCTACTTTATCAGTTTTTTCATTTATGGATGGTGCTTTTGATTCCAAGTTAAAGAATTATTTCCCTAGACTGAGGGCTCAAAGATTTTCTCCCCTTTTCCCCCTAAAAGTTTCATAGCTTTACATTTAAAATCCATTTTTGAGTTAATTTTGATATAAGGTGTGAGGCTTAGATAAAGGTTCATTTTTTGCCTTTGGATGTTCAATTGATCCAGCACCATTTGATGAAGAGGATCTTTTCTTCATTGAATTGCTTTTACACTTCTGTGAAAAAACAATTGGACATATTTGTGTGCATCTATTTCTGGATTCAATATTCTGCTCCACTGACCTAGGTATCTATTGCTCCACCAATACCACATTGCCTTGATTACTGAGAAGGCTATTTAGCAGCCTTTACTGTGGGGTGGAGTGACTACTGTATAGTTCTACTACTGTATATAGTAGTATACACATATACTATACACATACACATATACATATTCACATATACATATATACTGTATATAGTGACTACTGTATAATGAACTACTGCATGGTTCTTTACTTCTCTTTTCCAGGATTATTTTAGCTAAATTAGAGCCTTTTTCTATATAAATTTCAGAATAAGCTTGTCTCTGTCTATAAAAACCTTGTTAGGCTTTTGATAGGAACTATATAAATCTATGGATCGATTTGAAAATATATTATGCTGAATCTTCCAATCTATGAACACAGTATTTCTCTCCATTTATTTCAATCTTCTTTGATGTCTTTCATTAGAATTTTCTAATTTTCAGCATCCAGATCTTGTATATATTTATTAAGTTTATATCCAAGTATTTAATTTTTTAAAAGCAAGCATGGTCATTTGTTAGCATGGAGAAATGCAAGTGCTTTCGTGCATTGCATTTGTATTATTACATGGCTTTGCTGAGCCCACATATTAGTTCAGGACAGTTTCTTGTTTTGCCTCCCTTGGGATTTTCTATGTCAACAATCATGTAATTCGCAAAAAGGGTTAGTTTTATTTCTTATTTCCAATATTTATGCCTTTTATTTCTTTTTCTCCCCTTACTGCTATAGTTAGAACTTGCAGTTTTATGTTGAATAAGAATGGTGAGAGTGGATGTCCTTGCCTTGTTCCAATCTTAAAAAGAAAGCATTTGGACTTTCACCCTAAGTAAGATATTAGCAGTAAGTTTTTCGTAGATGCTATTTATCAGGTTAAAGAAGCTTCCTTCGACTTTAGGTTCACTGAGAATTTTTTTTTTTTATTGTGCATGGGTATTGGATTTTTTTCAAACGCTTTTTCTGTATCAGTTGATATGATTATATGATTTATTCATCTTTAGCCAACTGATATGGTAGATAACATGAACTGATTTTTGAATGTTGAACTTGCGTGGTTGAAATAAATCCCACTTGGTGTGGTGTGTAATTCTCTTTATATATTGCTGGATTTTGTCTGCTAATATTTTATTAAGGGTTTTTGCATCTAGGTTCATGAGATACACTGACCTGCAGTTTTCAATTTTTTGGTACTATATTTGCCTTGATTTGGCATCAGAGTAATACCAGCCTCAAAAATGATTTGGGAAGTGTTCTGTTCTTGATTTCCTAGAAGAGACTGTGTAAAATTGGTGTTACTTCTTTAAATATTTGATAGAATTCTCCAGTGAAACCATTTTGATCTGGGGGTTTCTTTTTCAGAGCTTTTATATTACAAGTTCTTTTTTCCAGTGGCTATAGGATTGTTAGGATTGTCTATTTTGTTTTGGTTGAATTTTGATATTTTGTGGTTTTTGAGAAATTGATCCATTTCTTTTAATATGTTGTATTTATGATCATAAACTTGCTCATAGTATTCCCTTATTATTCTTTTAATGGCTACAGGATCCCTAATGATGTTCCCTGTTTTATTTTTGATTTGGTGACTTGTGCCTTCTCTGCTTATCTTTGTCAGTCCTCGTATTTAATCAAGTAAATATAAATATTTAAGCGCTGATGAACCATTGAAGACATTCTTCATTTCTGTTGCTGTTTTTGACTTCTAGCCATTTGAATCTTTCTTACAGTTTCCATCTCTGCTGAAATTACCTATCTGACCTTGCATCTTATCTACTTTTTCATTAGAGCCTTTAACATATTAATAGTAACCATAATCATTCTAAATTCATTCTCTGATACTTCCAAGAGCCATGTCATGTCTAAGTCTGATTCTGATAATTGCTTTGTCTCTTTAGACTGAATTTCCTTGCCTTTTGGCATGCTTTGTGATTTTTGGTTGAAAGCCACACATTTTGTATAAGGAGTAGATACTGTGGTCATGCTGAAGTCTGTTGTCCCTATGGACATCAGAAATATTAAATTCCTCTAGTGATCTTTTTTGGTCCCTCCTCTTGGTTTTGGGGCTTCCTTTTGTGCTGTTCCCTAGTCTATCTCTTAATGCTCTCCCTTCTGTAATCCACTGTTGTTATTCCTGGAGACTTGTTGGTGTGCTCGTGGGGCATGGTAGAGAGGTGTCTCTAATAATCTAAGCCTCAGTTTCATCACACGTGCTTCTGCCTCTCCTCCATCTCTTTCCCCAGATGCAGTGGGTATCCAACAGCATTCTCAATCAACAGCCTTGAGGCCCTTCTCCCTGAAGATTAAATCTTTATTATTTTAGGTGAGATGAGAATTGAGGCTGAGTGGAATTGATTCCTCCAGCTGCGGTGGTATATCACCAGTGCCCTTTGACCATGTCCTCTCTGCTGCAGAATAAGCCTTTTGCTCCTTAAAGGAGAAGAGTCTGACTGGAATTCTCAGTGATTCCTAAGCCAGTACTTTCAACCCTGCACCATAAATTTTCTATGGATTTTCTGTGATC